AGCCGGCAGTCATCACAGGAACAACAACAAATGAAGAAGCGCTACCTTATGATTCAATCAAAAGGAATGAACATCTTTAGAGCAATTCAAATAATTAACAAACCAAATATAGCTAATATCTGGAAGGAAAACTCACTGTTCCTTCTGCCAATGCAGAAATGACAATACCAAGTGCGGTAAGCGATTTGTTGATATTTTTGGCTTCTTCTAATACTGTGCCTTGAGCTCCCGTTTTGCTAACCTGAAACAGCATAGTGAAAAGTACTATATAGAACTTCATTCAGAAAGGAACTCACTTTTTCTGAACCAGCTAAATCTACCAAATATAGTTTACCAGCAAGTTGTTTTTTTGTTGCCTGATGTTCTTGTTTGACAGTGATGAGAAATACAGAGTGAGAACGTGAAGAATGTTCATTCATGTCTGCAAAAAAACATCTACGCAAGCCCACAACAGCCTATAGATATCAAGAGTGGAATGATTGGGACGACTTCTCTTCAATTATTCTCTGATGTAAAAATGAACCTATCCGCAGAACGACTTCTTTTAATGTAATTAAATGCAGTACACTCTTCATATAATATGCAATGAAAGAGAATCAGCAGGTTCTGCAGAAATAAGCAATGAATGTCAGATAAATCAAGCTTTGAGCACCAGGCACTTTAAGAATTTCAGTCTCGTGAAAGATGTAAAATGAAAAAGAATTGGCGGAAAAGAAAAATAGGCTATTTCTACCAAAACTTGCTCTCCCTTCTTCTCTTTGGACATATACGAAGGCATTAGTTGGTTGTTATTCGAAACGCTCTTAATTGAGAATCACTAAAATTCTCTTTGCTAAAGATGCTTTACTCCATTTCACCGAAATTTCCTTCCCAAAAGGCTCGAAAAAGTCAAAAAAGAGAAAGTATAGTAGGTAATTTTGGAACTCACTAGTAACAGCAACCATTCGATTACTTTTTCCATCTTCAATGGTCTGAAGCACTTCGTCTGGAGTTCCAACAAATCTCTCCGTAGCGCCTTTTACATATGGAACTCGGTTCTTGTCTTCGTGGATTGAAAGGTTAACTTTTTCAGCTATAAAAAAAACTCGATTTTTCCTAACAAAAAAGAAACTAAAAATAAGTTAAGATGAACTCACGATCTAACAAATCTCGAATCTTCTCGTTATAAATTTCAAAATAGGAGACCTTGATG